TGCCCTGTGTGGCCCCCGCTCGGGGCGCTGCCCCAGGGCTTCCCGGCCCAAGTCCTCCGGTGTCGGACCGGGACCCTCCTCAGCCACAGGGTTCTGCTCAGACTGAATGTCCCCGAGTTGTAGTAAAAGCCACGGACCCCGACCCCCGGCAGCAGGTCAGGCGTCCGCTGGACGGGGCGCCCGAGGTCGTTGTCCGCTTCCCCCGTCAGCCTTCCCCGTGGCGGGAAGGACACCGGGAAGGACGCGCTGCGGAGCCTCATCACGGTGCCTCGGGCACAGAGCGAGGAGCTCTCCGCACGCGCGTCCATGAGGCTCCAGGTCTGCGGTGACAGCGGCGTCCACGTGGGGCCCAGAGTGGGTCACGCCCCTGGGGTGCGCCCCTGAGCTGCTCTCGACTCATTTATCCATCAGACACCAGGTCTCTGCAGATCTGCGTGCAAGTCCCATCGGAACCAATGTGCGAGCTTAACAACTTCAGCAACATGAACGGTATTGCTCGTTTTAAATGCTCCACTGATGATAGTTTATATTGAAGACATCAAATACATTCAAAATTTCAGGTATTTGATGTAGTTAAGTAATTCCCATCGTGTGTTGAAAACATTCAACCTGAGTATCTATACTAATAAAATAAGAGTAATATGCTAATTAGACCAAGAGACCTTCCAGAAAAGCCAGAGGCTTGGCTGGTCTGCACACTGACCCCAAACAGCCCTCAGCCCCTCGCCCAGGCTGGCCCTGCCCCCCGCAAGGGGACCACCACCCTGGTCTGGGACCCCCTTCAGGGCAGACTAGCCAGCCCCCACCTGTGCACCAGGCATCTATACTATCTATACTAATAAAAGGGTAATATGCTAATTAGACCTGAAGATCTTCCAGCTGTCCTTCCAGACAAAGCCATTGTGGTGGGTCCGAGGCAGAGGTGGTTAGGGGTGATCAGGCTGGCGGGGGGAGCAGGCCGGCAGAGGGGGCAGTTGGGGGTGATCAGGCTGGCAAGAGGGGGCAGTTGGGGGCGAGCAGGCCGGCAGACAGAGTGGTTAGGGGTGATCAGGCAGGCAGGCAGGTGAGCGATTAGGAGCCAGCGGTCCCAGATTGGAGAGGGTGCAGGACAGGCTGAGGGACAACCCCTCCCCCCCCCATGAATTTCATGCACTGGGCCACTAGTTTTATATATAAATAATGTTTATGTCTGCAGAATTCTAATTTTTAAAATATCTTTCTATTGATTTCAGAGAGGAAGGAAGAGGGAGAGAGAAAGAAACACCAATGATGAGAGAGAATCATTGATCAGTTGCCTCCTGCAGGCCCCACATTGGGGATTGAGCCCGCAACCTGGGCATGTGCCCTGACCAGGAAATCAAACTTCGAGTCCCTGGTTTGAAGGTCGACTTTCAACCACTGAGTCATGCCGGCTGAGCTAATGTCTCTTTTTTAAGTTATATTTGAGCATAATGTGTGGTCATAGGATGCTCTTCAGGTTGATTTTCGTGAAGGGGCTCCAGGAGGGAGTTTACAGGTTACATTTATTATTTGTTACCCACAGAATATCCCTTGTCTATGGGCGCTGGCCTCTGTGAAGTCGTTCCCTCCTGCCCATCTGCGCCTTTCTCTGGAGGCTTCCAGCATTTAGTGTTTGCCCTTCAGCAATGACGTGTGTATATCACACTCTAACCTGTGTGGTTGAGCTCACCTGCACCCACAGTTGAAGCAGCCCCCCATAACCTGCTCTTCCCCACCAGGTTTCCCCTTCCAGCTCCTGTTCCTCAGAGTTTAATCTTTTATGTCTAGTGGCCGAGTGGCTGGTCACACCTGCTAGTTCTGTCTCGGGGTCTTCCCTCCCAGGTCCCACAGGACTGCGTTTGTGCAGGTCTCACTGCCTGACTGCCCCTTCCACACCGCTCCACGCCTCCACCTCATCCTGCTTCCCCTGCTTCCACCTCTTCCTCTAGGCTCAGCTGCAGAATGAGTACTGTTCGATGTGCAGCCTTGCAGACAGAGATGTGTGGTGGTCTTTTTCCAAGGAACCCGATGGCTGCTGGCCAAAGCAGTCCACCTTGACTTAGAAGACGAAAGGGTGTCCTTACAGGGGAGGTCCCAGGCTGTGGCTGTGGTGGATTGCTCTGTGCTTCATCCACCTGTCCGTGTTGCTGTGCATCAATACTGTACACTCAGACTGGTTTTTAAAGCATATGCCCTGTGGGAGTGTGTATCCTACCATGTGTATATTGACGCGTTGATTTTAAAAGTACTGACTACACCAATGATGAGAGAGAATCATTGATCAGTTGCCTCCTGCAGGCCCCACATTGGGGATTGAGCCCGCAACCTGGGCATGTGCCCTGACCAGGAATCAAACTTCGAGTCCCTGGTTTGAAGGTCGACTTTCAACCACTGAGTCATGCCGGCTGAGCTAATGTCTCTTTTTTAAGTTATATTTGAGCATAATGTGTGGTCATAGGATGCTCTCGGGTTGATTTTCGTGAAGGGGCTCCAGGAGGGAGTTTACAGGTTACATTTATTATTTGTTACCCACAGAATATCCCTTGTCTATGGGCGCTGGCCTCTGTGAAGTCGTTCCCTCCTGCCCATCTGTGCCTTTCTCTGGAGGCTTCTAGCATTTAGTGTTTGCCCTTCAGCAATGACGTGTGTATATCACACTCTAACCTGTGTGGTTGAGCTCACCTGCACCCACAGTTGAAGCTGCCCCCCATAACCTGCTTTTCCCCACCAGGTTTCCTCTTCCAGCTCCTGTTCCTCAGAGTTTAATCTTTTACGTCTAGCGGCCAAGTGGCTGGTCACACCTGCTAGTTCTGTCTCGGGGTCGTCCTTCCCAGGTCCCACAGGACTGCGTTTGGCAGGTCTCCCTTCCCAACTGCACCTTCCACACGGCTCCATGCCCCCACCTCGTCCTGCTCCTGCCTCCTTCTCCAGAATGAGTGCTGTTAGATGTGCAGCGTTGCAGACAGAGATGTGCGGTGGTCTTTTTCCAAGGAACCAGAAGGCTGCTGGCCGAGGCAGTCCACCTTGACCTAGAAGACGAGACGGTGTGCTTACAGGCAGGTCCCAGTGCTGTGGCAGATTGCTCTGTGCTGTATCCACCAGTCCGCGTGGCCCTGTATCATACTGCACACTCAGACTGGTTTTTAAAGCGTATGCCCTGTGGGCGTGTGTATCCTACCATGTGTATATTGACGCGTTGATTTTAAAAGTACTGACTCTTTCAACATAAACA